CACAATTACTCAAGCCCTAACGACTCGGTGCACAAACTCGGCGAATTCTGGGGGACCCCGCGGAGAGGGCAGCAGCGGACATCTTCGCCCGTGCGTCTCCAGTGGAAGCGGCGATTGCGGAGCCGGTCACATCCTCTTCCCTCGCCGCCAGCGTGGCCATCAAGGAGAATTTCTCGACCGAAGGGGGAAAAATAGATGAATAAGTGTGCTGAGAGTTTCTCGGGAAGGTGGGAAGTCTGTCCCGCGGGCGCGTGTCACTTCTGGGGGAGCTTTCCTGAGCTTTCGCTTTTACGCTTCTTCAATGCTGTTAACCTGCGTTTGCAACACATACGCATACATCTCCCCTTCATGTGTGTATGTATATATTCAACTAGACATATATTTACATTCTTTTATTTCTGATATATATTTTTTCCTGTGTATATAATTAGCTAACACGGAGAAATGCTTCGGAGATGCCGCATCTTTCCTATCGACATTGTTTAAACTCTCCATTCATCAGCCCGGTGGAAAGACGATGGGAAGAACAAATGGAAAAGAGCGGAGAGGGAAAAGACCCGAGCCGCTTTCCATTTTTATTAAGTAAAATAATAGTTATGCCTCCCATACATAAACGAAAGTGTCATAAAAAATTCCGAAGCAGCTGCCAGAGATTTCGACCACACACACAACGGGGCGATTGAATTTCTACTTGGTGCATTTCACGGCAGCGAGGAACCGCCGGGAGCTGCGCCTTGTGCCTCTGCAGGGCGGTGAAGGGGAGGGCAGGGAGGGGGCAGCAAAAATGACGCGCTGCGAGCGGACGAGGGCAGAAGACACCGCTCGGGGGATGCCCGGGGGGGAAGATGCTCCGCCGCCCCCGCGGCGCCCGGTCGCAGGGCGGCTGCCTCCCGATCGCTCTGTCTGGAGGTTGGTCTCGCACGGCTCGAAGTGAAACAGATGTGGGTGTCTGCTGCCTGCCCCCCCCCCAATCTCCCCCACCCTCGCCCTGCCCCGGCTGTCGGCTCCCCCCTGTCTGGAAGGGTGGGCAGACCTCGGGGGGAGCCCCCAGCAACGAGGGGCTCGGGTGGAGCCGTTTGGTGCTATACTCATGGTCACAGGGACCCCGATGAGGCCGAAAATGTAGAGGGGAGACGAGAAGGGTTGATCCGATGTGGCTGTTGATGGGATACAGCCGGTGGCTTGTCCTGCTCCCGCCTGGACGTGGCTTTCCCCCTCAGCATCGCGCTTCCAGAGCGTCGCAACTCGAGTAATAACAAGCCCCGACCAGCCACCATCGACACGATTCCTGCCTGTTTCAAGGCACGATATTGTTCCCGTTAAAGTCGGAAACGACCCAAAATGAAAAGACAGTGAATGAGTCCTGATCCCTCCATCTCCGAGAGGCTCCTGTTTGCCGAGGCAGTCTTAGCCTCGGCTTTGCCACGCAAGATTGGCTGCAGAAACGAATCAAAACGAGAAAAAGTACCTAAACTACACCCGTCCCAAAATGATTTAGAAAAGGGAAACCCTGGACAGAAACAAAGCAGATGGTCGGATCCCAGACACGGTACACTCGCACATACACTCCCGCCAGTGCATCCACACACGGAGCGAGGGGTGTGTTTTAATGTGCGCCGGGGTAAGAAATGATGCGGTCTTCCGAAAGAGAAACCCAATTGATTTGCCCGAAAAGATCGCCTAGTCATCGCCCCACCGATCCTGGGAGTGCAGGGTTGGGAGGGAAGCATTTTTCCTTGGGCAGATTTTTAATTTTTCTGCTCTCCTCTCTGCAGTACTTCCTTATAGACAGCCTCGCTTCCCGTTTGAACCCGACTCTGCTTTACATTTCACGTTAAATTGCGGAATCAAACGTGAGTGGGGCTGTGCGCTGATGGAGTGGAGAGAGTCTCCAAAAAGTTTTAAAAGTAGAGAAAAAAAATAATAAAGGCCGTCAGCCGATCATGGTGATACTTTTTTTCTCTCCTTTAAATTGATTTTCACTGCCTTTCCCGCCTATCTTAATGAGCCGTTTGATCCAGGAGTGTTGGATCGGTGCTCGATGCCCTGATGACGGCTTAAGCAGGTGGATCCCCACGGCCGAACTTTCTCCCCTCCCTAGGTTTCCCGGTGCCTCCGCCCGAGTCGGAGCCCCCTGCAAACTGCAAAACTGGCCACAACTACCAGGCACTTTTTTTTTTTCCCGCACAGGGAAAAACTCGTTCCCTTCCCATCCGCCGAGACCGTTATTTGCCGGGGGGCGTAGCAGAGGGCAGGGAGACCAACCCCGGAGCACCGCGGGGTGCGATCGCTGCTTCTGCCCTGGCACTGGTCATGTCCACGCCTAAGGGGGCTGCTCCTGCCGGAGCATCTCCCGGCGACGGAGTTTAGCTGGGAGCAAAGCCCCGGGAAGCAAAGCCCTTGGGCAGTGCAGAGGATTCAGCTTCAGTCCAGCCGACGTTGTTCCCAGATCCTTCCACATGATCTATTGGTATTGCAATACATAATCGTTCTTGTTGCTTCGGTCGAGCAGCATCTAAATTCGTTTATTCTGATGAGAACCGCATCTACAAGTTCCCCCAAGGCTCAGTGATGGATTTCTCTGTTTTACCTCGTTATCAAGCTTGGCTGACCTCTAACTTCTCTGAAAACATGAACAAGACAGACCTGCTGCTGCCTGGGCTGCCCCAGGGGGCTCTTTTTCCACTTATGTGATTTCCTTTGATATTATTTCTCTTCTTTCCATATCCAAGGCTCAGACCTTCAGTGCTCCCTACAGTTCAACCTTTTTTCCAGCCCTGTAGTGCCAGCTCCCAGCTTGCAAAGATCAGTTTGCAGTCTGGACACCGAGAGTTCCCAGCGCAGGGGGGTCAGTGGGAATGGTGGTGACAGATAGTGAGAGATGTATAAAATTCCCGGTTTGGAAACCACCGGAGCCAAGTGCCAATATCCATCCCTGCAGCGTTCAGATGTTGGACAGCTCGGGTTTGTTGACTTGGCTTTTCAAATGCAGGTGTCTCAAAG